TCGCCCTTCGCATTTAGAAATATGTATTTAAAAAAGCACAATGGTAAAACAAACTTAAGTGTCACAAATGTCTTTCAGGAGAGACAAGCACTCCGTAGAAAGTGAAATTCTTTGTAACATTTTAAAAATCTAAAATAAATTGAAATAATTTTAGACTCGGGCAGGACTTGAACCGGCATCGTCAGCGTTCCGTGATGTTGCTCTACCAATTGAGCTACCGAGACCAAGTTGGTAGAGCAACAGCACGGAACGCTGACGATTCCGGTTCAAGTCCTGCCCGAGTCAAAAATTTTTTCAATTTATTTTCGATTTTTAAATTATATAGTGCCTTCATGTGCAATAACATGTAAAAAATAATAAAGTTTTCAAAAATTCTTTGTAACATTTAACTAAGATGGGCGGTCGTCCCATTTTCACGAGCACTAGTTAGCAATCAAACTCACCACTCCTTAAGTTAGTCTGTTTGTATGATTTTTTCCTACATTTGGTAGGCACCAATATATATACAATATTTTTTTTATGAAATAAAAAACCATAATAAAATAATTTATTTCACCTCCTACGCTGAGTGAAAGTTATTCGGAAAATATTCCGAGGTTTCCATCAGGTAAAAACTCCCAAAGTTTAAGTGAAGGAGGGTCAATATTTCCTTTATATGAAAACTCAAGATAACAATTTCGAAACTTTGACGAGTTTGTTAAAAGAAAATAAACAAAGTCCACTCAACCGTATTATTTTAGGCATCTTAAATAGCTCTTAAGAAAAACAAAGTTGGGTCGTGGTAAATAATAGTAATTTTTAACAGCATTTCAGGTCTACATTTCTTTTTGTAATAATGTTGTCAATGCACAGAATATTAGAGAATACAGTATAATTATAGTATACTTGAATTTATACAAACTAATTAATATATTATATTAATAATTATGATTAATACGCTTAACCGATAAAGAGGTCTATAAATAAAATTCTCGGTCGAGCAAAATGTAAATTCTGTACTAATTACATTGACAGGATTTTAAATTTACTGTAAAATAAATGATATATTTTTAATTGTTATGTTAGACATTTTCCCCTTTTTTTACTAGATAAATAGTAGGTTTTTGATTAATATACATTTTTTTAGTCCACTAGTCCAATTTTTAGTCCAATAAGTGTACATTTATATAAAACACGTTTAACTGATTAAAACGCGATATTAGCTAACCTATTAATTTAGAATAACTACGACGTTTCGGATGCTTTGCAGCGGCCGTAGTCATTGAAGATAAAAGGTGTCCCAAATGTCAAAGTCAAGTCTGTTACGCTAGCGCCATCTGTATATTCGTTGGTAATTGGGGAAACTGACCAGTATTACTCACGTAAACTACAGACAATACTTAAATGTTATTTAGTTGTAATATAATAAAGTACTTTTAGTTATAATTTGCTAGAAAAAAAGGAGAAACACAATAACGTAAGGAGCGTAATCCTATTGCGGAGCACTCTATATATGCGATTATCTCAGAGAAAACTTAACAGACTGTAAAATTGCTCGGGACCTTTTACGAACCTCTCGCAAATACATTACAGTATCTAATAACGCTGAGTGGATATATAATTGTGAACTAGCGCACAAGTCATCATTGGTCTGTTCACGTGTAGCCTTTTTGTTAAATCATTGTATAGCCAACCGTCTTCTAGAAGTACATTAACATCTACAGATGGTTTCCACGCCATCATCCGCAAGCGTGTAGCTTCCCTCATGTATCGGGTTCGACAAAGCACCAATGGCATTCTGGGGGCATTGTGTGAAAAGTATACGGTGCTGCTAAAACGATGGAGTGACGTCCATGCTCCCCCTTAGCGCCTAGCACCTATTCTATGTATTCTGTCTATTTAATTTTAGTGACTAACACATTCTAATATACATTTTAAGTTAAAAATTGTTACTAACCCAACTAACGCACATTAGAATTAATTAATTATGTATTATTTTAAAATAATGTATGGATCTATGGTCTGACAAATAAATTATTATTATTATTATTATTATTATTATTAAAAAAATAACATTTTAAATTCTAAATACAAAATTATTTCTAGGTTTCACGTTAAAAAGTTCGTACTTTAGGTTGTTAGTAACAATTATAAACAAAAACGAATCTATATTGTACTAGCTGTGCCCGCGACTTCCGCGATTAGTGACTTGGGGTAGAATTTTTAATTATTTAGGCTGTTTCTTAATTTATGTAAGGCAGCCAATCTATGTTATAAGTGCTACTTTGCCGCAACACTCTCACCTCACATCACTTCAACTCTCATTCCTACACTCACTCCCACTCCCACTCCTATTCCCAAAAAGCCAAAGAAAAAAGTTTCATTGTTCTAGCTTCAAAAACCACGTCTTTCCATACAAATTTTCATCCCCTTTTTCAACCCCTATCAACCCTTTTAGGCATTAAAAAGTAGCCAATGTCTCATGCTTTAAAACATCTGTGTACCAAATTTCATTTAAATCAGTTCAGTAGTTTCGGAGTTAAAGCCGGACAGACAGAGAGAGTTACTTTCGCATTTATAATATTAGTATATATTAAATATTAGTTTTGTGGCTGAAGAATTTATACTTCGCGTTCTTATCCGTTAAAAGTGTTTTATATACATCTCTATTACTCACGTAAATTACAGATAATATTTAATATCACATTTATAAAAATATAAAGACAAATTTATTTATTTAATTAATTTAACTTTGAAAACTGTTATGTTTTTTTAAATGTGTATAGTGCACATGAAGGCACTATATAATTTAAAAATCGAAAATGAACCGGCATCGTCAGCGTCAGAGCAACAGCACGGAACGCTGGCGATGCCGGTTCAAGTCCTGCCCGAGTCGAAATTTTTTTCAATTTATTTTCGATTTTTTAAATAATTTAACTTTATTATATTATACTAAGTGCGGTTAATACTATAGATAGATACGAATGATTTATTTGGTAAATAATTACATTCGCTTAATTTTGTTAAAGCTCAGCTCATCGTAAATAATTTTTAATGTTTACAAAACAGCTAACGAAATAATTATGTATTATTAATCCACTTAAGCTATGTGAGTTCTCGAACATTCAAAATAGGTCGATAGCACATCTTGTTTCGAACTGGTTGGGTTATTTCACCTTTTATCAAGTGAACTATATGCTTGTTTTTCATCGTCTGTCAAAAAAAGACCATTTTTACCTTTAATAACAAACATACGTACACAGTGTAATCCATTGTTTAAAGCTGTTTTTCTTGTATATCGAACATACTAGCTGTTTCAGCGACTTCGTTCGCGTAGAATAGTTATTTTGGGTATTAAAATTAGTTTTTGCAAACCTCCTGCACATCGTTATAAATTATAGATGTTATCCTCATCAAATCATTCTTTCATTTTTAAATCTTGAACCGTTTTTTTACATCGTAATTTTCCCAACTTTTTCGTATCTCTCGCTGTATCTTAGCTTGTATTCACAGGGTGATAATTTATAGCCTGTAGCCTTCCCCGATAAATGCTCTCACCAACAAAAAAAAAATCAATGCGACCCAGTAGTTCCTGAGATTAGCGCGTTCAAACAAACAAACAAACTCTACAGCTTTATATATTTGTATCTCTAGGTCTCGTACACGGTAGTTTGATATCATCCAGCGTACAATAATAATTAATCATAGCTTGCGTAATTCGCGCAGCGTTACAGCAAAGTGGTGTCTGTCATCCTTGACCCAAATATTGGATTCTCTTTGTCCGCTTAGCTCCGAACATTTAGAGAAGCTTCAGCTTTTAGGTAATTTCAATACGATACTAAGTGTACGTCACTTGATACGATCCTCTAAAGGCAAAGCCTTTATAACCCTCATTAATATCGTACACTCCGGATTTTTCAAATTATCGTACCGCTTCTTTTATACCAATCAATAATATTATTGAATGGCGAATGCCCTACAGGGCTTGGATTATAATGAATCGTTTCGATATTCTCCAATAAAACGTCATTGGAAAAATTGGACTTTGTGGATAGCTTACATATAAGGCTGCTAGAGGGAGAGTAGAAATAAAAAAGGGGAAATAATTTAGATGAAAATTAATTTGTACTATTATTTGTGTAAGAATTATGTTAACAATTTTCGGTCACTGTGCTCTTGTAGATTAACATTTTTAGACTATAAAAATATAAATAACTTGTCATAAAATTGCAGTTAGGCTACTCTGCCTCTAGCGTCCTCATATATTTTTTATTGTTAGCACCACATCAGACAGACATCTTTAAGCTTATTAACATTCTTTACACACTATTTGCACAATGTGCAGGATATTGGCGTCTAGCTTCGTTTTTATTAATTAATTTACAAAACCACTTTTTTTATACACAAATAAATCAGTTGTTTTTTTTGAAGTTCTTGACAAAATAAACAATGAAGTGAAATTAATATTCTTGGGGAGTTCCGTTTACGGTTTCAATTAATTAATTCTTCAGCAAAGTTAGTTTTGAATTGCCAGTTTTGTAGAAAATCTTTCCTCTAAGTATATAGAATGTTAAATACAAAAACCCCGCCCTTAAAATGTCCAATACGCGCTCTTCCATAGACACGAAATGAGAAAAACTTTTTTTTACAGAAGCGAAGATGTTTTTTTTCAGCCCCAGCATAATAAAACCTTCTTCATAAGCGTAGTATGCAGCTAGAGTTGCAATAAAAACTAAAAGCTCTTCTCCAAAAAAAATTTTTTTAAGGAAACTCAAGTGTAATGAATGCGTACTTATTACGCCGAGGTCAAATATAAAGCTTCCCTTAAGTTAACCATTTAATTGTCTTGTTTTATTGGAGTGATGAATAGGACAAATCTTCTTTATTGATTCGTGAGATCGTAATAATCTAGTGACAGTACTTAATTAAAAAATAAATTAAAAAGTTCTATATATTTATTCAAATGAAAGACAAACATCTTTGCACTAAACTACTTCACTTTGCCTTCAAAAAAATTTAAACTATAACCCCTCACGTTTCTTCCATTCTTCCTTTAATTTAGCTCGTTTTTTCTTCTTGTAATCCGACTTTTTCAACTTATTCTCTTCTAATCTCTTCTTCTGAGCGTTGATACTCTCTTCCCCATTCATCATCTCATCTAACTTTGCCACAAGCATTTCGCGGGCCATTTTCCTGTTGTCATCTTGAGATCTACTCAAATGACATTTAACCACTACACCTATAAATAAGATTATGTTGAATGATTATAATCCCACAGCAATGGACAGTATGCTTAACCAAAGACTAATTGTCAACAATCACTTTCTCCATTGGCAATCATTTCACTGCATAAAAAGTGGTGTCTAAAATGTGGAACAAACCTGAAGGTACATGTGTTAATACAACGCAATTAGCGTTTTTATTGACAGCAGAACCACCGGGCCCTCCGCCTCTGACAAACTGCTCTGATAATTCGTTTTCATTAATTTTTGGTACTTTTGAATAGTCTATTGTGTGTTTTGATGCTGTTGGTACTAACAAGGGTGACCTACTATTTATGGTTACTAATAATCTTTTCAACATCCTAAACAATTGATCCTCTTCTCAATAAGGCCTCACCTTTCTGAAATTAAATATCATACATCAGATGTTCACTACAAAGAGCCATTTTGAATTAATTTTTATAAATATGCTTATTAAAGTAGCATAATTGAAATGAAATGAAATTTAACATATGAAAAATCCCACATAACTTGTGCGTCCAAAAGAAAGTCCTGATGCAAGATCAAAATTAGTTTATGTCAAATGCTGAAGCCGCATATTGGAATTTACTTCATATTAAAGACTGATTTGTTTGTACTTTTCTGTGTATTATTCTACTGGGAATTATTGTTTTTTTTTTAAGATAGTTCTTTCCATTGAGAAAAGATTAAAAACTTATAGGTTTGATTTTAATAAGAGATGAGAGTACATAATAATTTGTAAGAACTTTCAAGCCGTTTATAATAATTTTATTCTTAATTAGAATAATACACAAATGAATGGAAATAACTAGAATGAAGAACTACAGATGGAAAAAATAATAAGATTCTGCAAGCAAAGCGGCAGGTATGAAGGGGACACGGGAAGAGTTGGATGACCCAAAACCTCTGCAAGGAGGTAATGGGGAAATGGGTGAAATGGTCAGCGGATAACGTGGACTGCTCACCCGTCCTGCCAAGGGTGTCCCCGATAGAAAATAATAATTAAATGTATGGAACCACAAACTTCTTTTCCTTCCAAGTTGCCATGATCATTCTATATCAGTTTCTCACATTTACCTTGTATGCAAAATCAATATCCTCTGGATTACTTAAGGTCTTGTTCTGTCGAAATTCAGCACTTACTCTTTTTTTGTAATATTCTACATCAGTAAACCTCAAAGATTTTGAATACGACATTAAATGTTTATATAACTTTAAAATTTCACTTCTAGTGATAGGTGCAGACATAACTGATAAATTATATATTTACAAAGTTATTATATGATGGTTCTAAGTCATTGATAATATATTTGCCTGCTGAGTGTTTATTAAAATTTATTACTTAGTCTTTGTAATTACAAAAACATAACCTTTTCTTGTCAGTTGTCAGTTGTCACTAGTTAGATATAATTGACTTCACAGTTAAGTTTTTTTTTTAAATTAAGAACAAAAAATATTGAACTATTCAAATTTTTTTATGGTTTCGTACTTTTTTTTATTTGTCTGGGCTCATAACCTGTTGGAATAGTATTATAGTTCCTCGTGGAAGCTTCGGCTCGGGAAAGGCGGAGGAGGGATATATATTTATATATTTAAGAAAACACACCCACTTCAAACTTTCACATATATATTTCTCGATACCCCCGACGTGTTTTGTCCGGCGTATCGAGAAGAGAAGTCCTTGTTTTCTTAGTACATAAAAGTATGTGAAATGTATTACTATTTCCTGAAAATACCGTCGGTCTCGATACTTAGGAAAAATAACTAAATAATACATTATTTTTTAAAGGATTTGTATTTATAATTGCAAAGTTCACCACCTACATTAAAAACAACATAATCTTGTAGTGTATCTCTGTTGTTGCATCGATGGTATATGTCACTGTCAAGTTAATAACCACATTACTTATCCGGGGAATTCCGGAGATTTTTTTGTGACAATACTTAAATGAAAAATAAACAATCGCTACGTGATGTATACAAATTATATTTCATCAAAATCGTGAACTAAAAAGACTACTAGCTCAAGTAAGTTATGTGGACGTAATACTAAAACTTACAAACATAAAATTGTATTATTGTAAAATAAATAATACTTTTCAGGTACTCATTTCAACAACTATGTTTCAAAGCCAGGCGACAAACATGGTATTCCAAAACATTAACTCAATCAGTGTGGATACGGTATTAGTCATCCAAAAAGACTTAGAACCTTATGACATGACTTCTTTAGTGTTTCTTTTGTATGAGATTCCAGATACAGCACTTCAACGTTTGACTGTTTATCAAAAAGTGTCCAAGGATATTGATAACGATACCATGAATTTGCTCCACCACTGGGCATCTCATGCACAGACAAGACCATCCTGGAAACATGAGCTTTTAGAAGCTCTATGTATTTGCAGACTGTATAACATCATTAGAAAACTAGGTTTCGATGTAACTTCTGTAAAACACCAATATCAGCCTAGCAATATGAATTTTACTGCCCACATAAGTATTATTAAGAAGATTTTATATAGATTATGTGAAAGTGTAAACTCTGAATTACTTCTTAGATTAAAGAAAACATTACTTACATATGGCATAGACACTACAACACATGAGAGTTGTGAATTAATCCTATTAGAACTAATGTGCCAGAAGTTTGTTGTTTTTAAACAAACCAAAGAAATGAAAATAGATTTTAGTAAGTTAACAGAAATTCTGGAACATTTCCCATCATTATGTTCCTTCGCTAGTCTTCTCACCGATGTTGAAAATAAACTAAATAAGACAGAAGAGTCTTTGGTGCAGGATATAGAATTAACTACTCCCACAAAGAAAAATTTGGAATGTAAAGATTCAGATAATGTTAAAGTGCAATATGATGCCAGCGATTTAGATGAGTTTTATGAGCACTTCAACCAATTAAACCTGAACTATGTACCAAGTGATTTAACAACGGATAAGAGACAATCCTTTAAAGATTCTTATCCCATTTTAAATCCTAAGCGTGTTGGAGTTTGCTGTATTATAAATCAGGAAGAATTTCACCCATCAAAGGAAAACATAACCCATAAAATACATATTGATCTAACAACACGACACGGATCCACAAAAGATCAAATAGCTTTAGAAAACATAATGTCTTCACTCAATTTTGAAGTGATGGTTCGTAAAAATTTAGACCATAAGGAATTTATTGATTTTATTAAACATGTACTGAAGAATTGTGTCCACAAAGATGACAGTGTGTTTGTACTCTGTATATTATCGCATGGGGTTAGGGGTCATGTTTACGCTGCAAATTCTGTAAAAATAAAAGTTGAAGACATTCAAACTTTGCTAGATACAGATATAGCAATAAATCTCTATGGAAAACCAAAAGTTTTGATTTTACAAGCATGCCAAGTAGATGAAGAACCATCTCCTGCCTCAGATTTAGTGGCTGATGGACCTTCCAAGTTCTTTCTACGTAAATCAGATTTTCTAATATATTGGGCTACTGCCCCAGAGTATGAAGCTTTCAGACAGACGTCCAAAGGATCTCTATTTATCCAGTTTTTATGTATAGTGTTAAAGAAGAGAGCTCGCAATGACCATATTTATGATATTTTTACACGAGTTACTGATATTGTTACAAATGTCTGCAGCACTGTCAGGAAACAACAAGTACCAATTTTCGAATCAACATTAAGAAGAAAACTATACCTATACAAGCCATTGTGACTTTTTAAAAACTAACTGGACAATTATTGTATAGAAATATTCTTGTAGTTAAGGATTATCAGGGTGCTTAAATTTGATACAATATATATAATTCACTGTTATATGAATGTTTATCTTTACCTTAACAATAGGGCATTCAACTTGAGTTGTAGATTAAATATAATATTAGTCTAACATGGAATTTGAAAATAATCATTTTTGTTACAATAGTTTTATGATTTATGCAATGCAGGAACACAATGTATGACTGCAGACTAACTGTTCTTATTACAATAATAATACATCAGCTAAAAAAGGTTCTTAACAAAAAACTCATACATTTTTGCAGTATATATTTAGCATAAATTTAAAAATTTTCTATACTTTATGTTCTTATAATACTACATCTCTTAATACAGTAAACTGTTACATGAGCTTTTCTTTTAGCATAGCTATATCCGCTTTAGTAAACTCTGTCATAGCTACCTCAAGAGCTTTTTTGTCCTCATCAGTGGTTAGATTTGACCACATTGAATCTAAGAATTGCCTATGATATTTTTGAATAAAAAGAAAACTATGTTTTAATGTAGCACCCACATGTAGAGTCCTCAAAATAACCTTTAAACTTCCAATTTTGGTTAAAAAAGGAATACTGCTGGTCACAAACTGATGCGGTCCATGTCGGCTGCGAATTATGGCTATTCTTGTGTTTTCATTGCAATATTTCGCTACAAGTCCCGTTTTTACAGCCGCCACACCGAAGTCTCCGTGGAGGTGTTGTATTATATCTAATAAAGCTTCATATATCGCTGCTGACTTGATTGATAGTGGTTTACATTCAGGCACATTAGGCGATGATATTTCAACTGTTATATATCTGAAAATTGTTTAATATCTTAAGTATTGAAGTTACTGTATTAATATTATGTATGTATAAGCATGTATCTTGCTACCTGTTCTTAAACCTAACCATTCTATTTGTTTATTCTATCTTCTACAATCAACAAATCAGAGGCTAGTTGATAACTGATTGTCAAAAGTTACAAAATCGGCCTGCAGAGAATTAAGAATTTGTTTTGAACATTGGTTTTGAATGCTTATTTAATAATTGCACAGTGATTGGTTATTTGAATTTTGAAATACCTATGTCACTGAGCAAGTATTACGATCATGTAATTTTATGACATAGCGTAGTGTCTTGACATTATAATCTGTAGTTAATAGTTATGCATAGATAATACAATGAAATCTTAACTAGTACTTCATCTTAACACTATCATTATATAAATAACTAAGGACGAAACGAACGTTTGTACATTATTACTCTCTTTTAATTATTAATGCAGCGTTTCTATCTGTTCCGTAAGAATTAGGTAGGTAAATAAATATTATTTAATTTAATTAAGCTTTGATTTTAAAATAAAATTGATGTGGCGTTTTTAATAAAAAAAGTTGGAAATATTTTTTTTCGATCGCTAAGTCGTTGCCTTTTTCTTACAACACAGGTTGCAGTCATAAAGAGGAGATAGCAAGGTTATCAAGTATATCTTTATTACTCCTCACTCGTAAATAATTACGTTCATATACAGTATGACTTTTAGTTGGTGTAACTGGGTAACATTTTTCTTTACATCGAAATCACTTCCTTTGCCATAAAAAAAAACATATAAAGTTAGTCAAATCGCTGGATTTGTGCAGTCACAAACACCGTTCATCCTTGATCCCAAATATTCTTCTTAAGTACATAACTCTATTTATACACAGTTTTTACCATCAGCCTGTATTTGAACTTTATCATTTATTGAGTATGTTCACAAGTTATAGAGAGCGTATATCTCTACATATTTACATATACGTAATATTGTAAGTTGTAAATGCTATTCACAACAAGTTGACAGCTTATAAACAATACCAGTTAATATATCAGTAGGGGACAACCGCCAGTGACATTATTAAAATACAGGAAATGGATCGAAACATATACTTCGTTGGCGTAGACGTTGGTTCTGGAAGTGCGCGCGCGGCGTTGGTTGACAAGCATGGAGTTGTCTTAAAGAGTGCTGTAAAGGACCTAAAGACATGGAAACCTAAACCGGGGTATTACGAACAGTCTTCGAACGATGTGTGGGACTGCTGTGAACGGGTTATCAAGGTCAGTAACTCTTAATAAATTAACAAAATTTTTAATCTTTTTTATATGTCCGATGGGCCGTTCATTTGATGGAAGGTGATAAGGATACCACAGCCATATAACATTTTAAAGATGCACTGTCGGCATAGAAATCTTCTTCTTCGTTGTGCGAACGGAATTATGATATTTATTTATTTATAATAATAATAATAATACGATCCATTTAAAATCCAAATTTTATGGTAAAATACCCACCGTTTTACTTTATAACTTCATTTTAGTAAGGGTTTCTTGTCATGAACGAAAAGGGTTATTACTTTTGCCAACTCGTACACGGAAGCCTGATCACTGTCGCGTGTTCGAGATCCAACTCAAGTTCAATAATTCGTTACAATTTCACGTTTATATACTTTCTATAATGTCAAAAACTTCCCAAAGACCTAATTTTTAATGAAAATTGAGTTTTATTTGCGTTTCCAAGGTTCCTCTCACATTTGACAAAGCTATAGAAGTTCGCGAAATGTCCTAAATGACGCACTTCGCCTACGCCGATGGTAGCAGTAGTAGAAGGCGAGGTTCCTAGTTCGGCGAACAACCATCTTGAATATTTTTTCCTCGCTTAATTCGTTTTCCATGAGGGTTTTACATACTTTTTATTTTATTTGCACAGGATGTCACGACTGGCATTAATTCTAAACAAATCAAGGGAATCGGCTTCGACGCGACCTGTTCCTTAGTAGCGTTAGATTATAACGGTAACCCCATAAGCATTAGCGAAACTGGCAACAATGAACAAAACATTATCATGTGGATGGACCACAGGGCACACGAAGAAGCGAATTCCATCAATAAAACTGGTCACGAAATACTCAAATTCGTTGGCGGCAAAGTCAGCTTGGAAATGGAGATGCCCAAATTGCTATGGCTGAAAAAGCATTTGCCGCAAACGTGGAAAAAGTGCGGGTACTTTTTCGACCTACCCGACTTTTTGACATGGAAAGCTACCGGTTCGCTGACACGTTCTCTATGTTCCTTAGTCTGCAAATGGAATTACGAATGCTCAACAAAAACGCGTGGCTGGAACGTCTCCTTCTTGCAAGAGATAAACCTTGAGGATTTGGTGGTAGACAACTTTGCTAAAATCGGGAATAAGGTCTTAATGCCTGGGGAGCTGTGTGGTGGGCTACTGCCAAATGTTGCCAGTTCTTTGGGGTTGCTGGAAGATACGCCGGTCGCTACATCGATTATAGATGCGCACGCTGGAGGTCTTGGCATGATAGGAACTATTGGGGATAACATTAACTGCGATATGTCGAGCCGTCTCAGTTTAATATGTGGTACATCCACTTGCCATATGGCTGTGAACACGAAGCCGATCTTAGTGAATGGCATATGGGGACCGTATTTCAGCGCTATGGTCCCTAATATGTGGTTGAACGAAGCTGGACAGAGCGCATCGGGGATGCTTTTGGACTATGTCATATCAAGCCATCCCGCTGGTATAGAGTTGTTGAGAAAATATAATACTGGCGAGTACGTACATATTTGTTTTATAACTAAAACTTTAATAAGCTAAGAGCCTCATGAGCCTCTTCAGTTCAATAAGTGTTAGTAATACGTATAGTGTATATTAAAGTATAGTGACGTTATATCGTAAATAATATAGTTTTTAAGTAATAGTTTTTTTTATACAATACAGGAGGACAAACAACCTTGTTCACTTGATTGTAGGTGAAATACCTAAGCCGTATAACATCTAAACAACATGTGTTGTCGACCTATTCTTCTTCACACTACTTGAAAATTTAGGTCTTATCATTTATAATCTATGTATGGCCCCGAGTAAAATTAAAATGTGTTTTGTTGATAAAACTATGTTCTAAGTATATCTTTTCTACGTTAGACACAGACAAACTAACTATGAGACAAGAAGGGAATAGAGCAACCCGCTCTAACAAGAAAAAATATGTAGTACGCTTAAAAGAACGTGAAGACTGTAAAATGTAACTTGGTGATAAAAAAAAAGTGTGGCGGCGAGTTTCTTTTCGTTCGTTTTACGCCCTTAATTTAAGGACTGGTAGTTATCGTATTTTTTTTATTTTTAACGGATCTGATGTTCATACGTGTATCCAATTACCGTGAATAAATGGTTTTGACTTTGAAACAAATCTAATATATTATGTACTTCTAATACGAATAATAATATTGCAGTGTACGAGCACATTTGAAACAGTTACTTCAGACAATGGCTAAAAGTAAAGGATACCAAGATGTCAGTTTGCTAACCAGAAACTTCCACATGTGGCCAGACTTCCATGGGAATCGTTCGCCCATTGCTGATCCCACTTTAACTGGCATGATCGTGGGACTAACGATAAACAGCAGTGAGGACAATTTGGCACTTCTCTATCTGGCAACAGTGCAGGCATTAGCTGTAAGTCTTAAAACAATTATAGGACGAGTGTAGAGGATAAGTCCGTACATCTATACTAATATACAAAGCTGAAGTTTGTTTGTTTGAACGCGCTAATCTCAGGAACTACTAGTTCGGTTAAACATACCAAACAAATATGAAAGAATGGTTCCTCATTAAAGAATATAAAAACATTAACTTGCTAGAACGACGGTTGAAACAAATTTGGATGACCAACATAACTAACCTACGCGGTCGAAGTCGCTGACACAGCCAGTATTCAATATGTACATAGTTATCAGACGAACAAATTTTAAAATCGAAAATTTATTGGAACGCTGACGATGCCGGTTCAAGTACTGCCCGAGTCGAAAATGTTTTCAATTTATCTTCGATTTTTAAATGATATAGTGCCTTCATGTGCAATAACACGTGAAAAATATTAAAGCTTTCAACCTAAAAATATATTAAAATTGGTCGAGCAGTTCCGCTGTTAAATTATTTTTGTGTTCAATAAGGAAAAAATATTTCAATTAGTTATTAGTGCATATCTCAATAAATTTTATGTTACATGTAAATTTAAAAAGTATACTAAATTGACATACCTGGGGTGCGAACCCAAGACCAACAGCCTACCATACTTTTCGAATGACGTCACACATAGTAATAATAGTATAATATGACTACGTACTGATATATCAGTATTGCAATATTCCATACTGTCTATAGTTTACGCGAGTAGTACACATTTAAATAAAACACTAACGGTTTAAAACGCGATATATTAGTTAACTTTTCAAATAAGTTTAACTAATATATCGCGTTTTAAACCGTTGAAGTGTTTTATTTAAATTGCAATATTCTAAATCATGCTATAAAGAACTATGTTTTTTTTTTAGTATGGGACAAGGCATATAATTGAAGCATTAGTACAAGCCGGCTATGAACCGTTTAAATCTCTATTAATCTGCGGTGGGTTAGCTAAAGATCCTCTATTCATTCAAATACAGGCAGATTCAGTCGGTCTGCCCATACTCAAGCCACATGAAAAAGAATCCGTCCTTTTGGGATCTGCCATACTTGGAGCTTGCGCATCACAATACTTTAACAATGTCGAAACGGCCATACAAAACATGGGGGGTAAAGCCGATGTTGTGAAACCGACAGCACATATGAAGCAATTCCATGACAAAAAATTCAAGGTCTTCATCAAAATGTTTCAGGACCAGATGCAATATAGAAATATAATGAATGACACGTAGAAGGTAAACATATATTTGTGTCTAATACATAATTAGTAAATGAAAATTTATGTAAATAAAATTATTTTAAAGAGACAATGTTTATACCTCAATAACACAGTGTTGACTAGAAGACTATTAGTTAATTTAGAATATCTATCGTGATCTACAAATATTAATATAATAAAAAAAATTATAAAGCAGTCTCAACTTCGTAAATTTCAGGCACCTTGGGCCAGGCATATAATCTAGACTTTAAAACTTGCTTTAACTTTTTCAATGGCTTTGATTTAGATGAATTTTTCAGACCTTTTGTTTTTGAGACATTAGTCACTTTTTCTATCTCGATCATCCTTTTACGTCTCTTGTCCAGTTCTCCCCTGAAATAAATTCTATCAAGGGGGTCTAGCGTAAGGTCTATTATGTCCGGACTGGGTATGCGTTCCAGTTCATCATTGCATTCATTTTCATTGTATTCTTCTTCAAACTCTTCAAACAGTAGTGGACTCATGGAGGCTGTTTTACTTGGTATATCATTCTGAAAATAAATTATATCATTTATTAGGTCAAATGTGTTTCTATTAGCTCTACTTATATATTATTTTTTATTGGGGATACCAATAGAACACCGGGTGATCAGTCCACTTCATCTGCTAACAACTTTACCCATTTCCCTTTGCAAAGGGGTCATTTGGGTATTCAACTTTTACTTTGTCCTGTCATACTTTACGGAATTCTTATATAGTTAATTCTTAAATGTTGTTCTCTGTTATATAGTCAGTTCCCATGAGTTTTTGCCTTTTAAGTACATAAAGCGTAATTCTTATATTAGGGAAAACATAAATAATGTTACTAACCATATCAAGGATCATATTTTCAATAGCTTGTGCCTGTTCTTCTAATATCATATCACCTAGAAGGTCATCAGACAATGGTGATTCATTAACAGTCCTTTCGCTGGAGGTTGAATGAATAGGTGGAACATTATCACAAATTCCTTCTTTAATCTGAAGAACAATAAATTTTTTGTTAAGAAACTTAGTAATTTGATTTATAAACTGCTATTAAAATACAAGAAACAGCCTTAGAATTGCTAAGTATAGTTTAATAGCATGTATTCTAGCTCTGATGCTTAAAACAAAAAATATGGTGTGGCCAGTGCATCAGATTGCTTTCATACCAATAAAATTAATGAGTAAAAAAGACATAAGAAGTGTTTGCCTAATTTTCCACATAAAAATCGGATAATGTTATTATTGTACTTCAAAATATTTTAGAGGGGACAGGACTTGAGGTAGTAAATCATTTTTGGATCTCTTTCAATATTGCTGAGTATAGAATACTATCGAGCTTACTTGTGGTATAGCTGTTTTTAGTATGCGTTTTATGCCCTTATCAGTAATATACAAGTCTTTGCTGGCAAAGTGCTCTGAACAAACCACACTTGATCTATTTGGTTTGTATGATTCATTCCTCTGGTGGCTTACGATTGATGCCCATTTTGCACATTGTGTTGGGTTTCGGGGAAACCTGGAATATTGTTTATCAACAATACACGTTTGTTTTAACTAGACACTAAACGGGAATACTTTAAGTACTGGTCTAAATAAGGACCACAAAGAAGACAAGATGAAAGAAACGGAAATACTATAAGTACTGGTCTAAATAAGGAAAAGGACAAGCTAAGGAGAAGGCAAGCTGAGAATAAGTCCAAGAATTAATGAGAAATTTACCGAAAGTACGACACTCCATCCGCCTTCTTATATCGAGATGTTTTATTTTTGCATGGGCTAAACGAACATTTGGGCATGATTATTCATACATGTTACGGTCCGTTTCTTGCAGGCTTGTAAATTTTAAATGATCGAAAACTCATGAATCCACACTAAAAATAGGATTCTTTCCATTTTCCACCACGTCTTTGTAGAGCAATTTTAAAAATAATATAAATTAAAAAAGTTAGCGTATACACTAATCTGATCTTAGGGCGACGTTAGAGAAAAATCTTTATTTGGATTTACAAAGTAAATTAATAATTTAAATTTTACATTAATACGATCAGTTCTATTTGCATTTTGCAATCGATAAGCCGACATAGCCACATATTCAATATAAATCAAGCATAGATATGGGTAGTTAGAAGGAAGTCTACAAATATGACAGATTTTTTTTACCACACTTGGAACCTAGTCTATTGGCCGAAATCAAACAATAATATATATATATATATATATTATTTTCATTACAATATATGTATTAATTTTCACAAACGTAGTACCATTATCAGGTTCAAGTTTAAATAAGATTCAAAACAATATTTAGGAATAAAATGCAAAAATATTAAAAATAAATTTAGCTCAGTTAAATATACGGACTTTAATCACTACGGATAGACAGACAGACAATATTTTTTTTTAATCATATTATAGAGGCATAAGACTACATTTCTCTATTTAAAATATTAAACTCAAAAAAATACTACTTAAAAATTCCAACTTTCTCTATGACTTCACGATGAAATTATCTGTGTCTCAACAACAACGGGCTGTATTGAAATCTGAAATGGATATCTGTGATGTGATTTGGTTTTCCAATTCCATGTAGGGTTGAGTTGGTTAATTTTTCATTTAGAAAAATATCTTTTATCCCGATATTTTAGATGACTTCTTAGTAAAGATGTTAGGATATCACGCGTTTAATTATCAGAAGACGTTAAATAGTCTTATTTTACTTATTTAAAACATTTTTATTAGGTTGTCATTATTGACAAGCAGGTAAGTGTAATACCCTACCAAAGTATAATAGCGTTAAGTTCTGTACAACCGATTCGATCGTAAGAACTTTCAAATCTGTTAGCATAATATAAATCAATAAGGTGTTTTCACAAACTATACGTTTTCTTGAATATTTTAGTCCAAGATGTCGAAACGTACAGCCGAAGAGAGTGGAAATGGCAGCAGTCAGCCGCCGATTAAGAAAGTACATTTTGAACCCCATTTGATAGGCCCGGTTTCCACACTGGAAGAAATGGACATAAAAGTCCTTCAATTCCAAAACAAAAAATTAGCCCAGGTGATTATCACTATTAAATTTCGTCACTTCAACCCTTTTTGCCTACTCCAAGAATGATTGTGTAACCATAAGTCTAAGTATGTATTTGTAAATGTTTGTATTTTCATATGATGACAGAGGATAGAGCAACGCCACAGGTGTGAAGCAGAACTAAGAGCAAGGATAGAACAACTAGAAAAACGGCAGACACAAGATGATGCTGTGCTGTGTGTTGTTAATAGGTATTGGAATCTGTTGAATGAAGACATCCGGGTGTTGTTGCAGCGTTTTGATGCAGAGACTGCTGATGAGTCGGAAAACAAAAGTAAGACACTCAAACATATGTTTCAGTTACAAAGAGATCTTTAGCACTTCCTAATATTAAACACACTTTTGTAAGGTTTAATTGTGTTCAAAAGGCTAATCTTAGTTTAAGTTTACAGAGATAAGGTTTAGACATGGAAATATGAGTCTTTATTGAAAGTTTGATTCAGTTCCAAAAGAAAAAAACTTTCTACATTAAACAGCATTTTATAAGATTTAGCTTTACACTTAACACAAGTATTTTGATCTAATAACTTATAAGATGAACTAATCTCAACGTTTATAACTCAATAAGTACTCTGAAATAAAAAATGCAGACTTTGGATAAATGTTTTTAACTACAATTGATATAATTGGAATGTACACAACAGCAATATTTATAATAATAGTAATAATAATATCCCAGCCTCTATATGTTGTAGATGAAAATGAGGCAACAACATCATTCCTTATGCAGCTATCAACGTGGGACAAGGAAGAATTGGATGCACAACTTGCCAACCGAGTCCAAGTTAGTAAAAGAGCTGTCGCAAAGGTGTTGCAGGCTTTTGACAGATTGCAACAGAGGAATGATAAGATTTGGAGAGCTATTAAAGGAGAAGGAGATGGTAAGAGACCTACTAGATGTTGTATATATTATTTGTTAAAACATTATTAATATAATATTATCAATAATAAATAAGCTTTAACTAGACAATGAAACTTTATTTTTGAGATTTTGTAGACACAATAGTAATGAAAACATTATAGTTTGTCATTGCTCTGCAATTTTAGGTAGCATGTCATCTCTGTTGGTATAACCGATTGGTTGGCGGTGGGTTCAAGTCCCACCTTTTTCATAAAGTTTTTCAGTCCATATAAAACCTTTTTAATCCGTAACACCAATTAAAAAATTTCATAGAAGGTGCCCCAGCTCCATCCATGGATGAAACAATTCGAGCCACAAATGAGGAAGTAACAGCAGAGAATCGACGTCTACAAGCACTCAGTACCACTTTACATGAAAGCCATCATGCAATGACATTACGTGTAGCACAACTGCAGGATGCTGTTAATAGTCGGGATACGGAGAATGCAGAATTAAAGAACCAGATTGACGATTTGCAGTATGAATTGATGAAGGTAATTTATACTTATCACTATTATTACCATTACATAACATGGTACAAATATTAAAAGGTGGAACACAAATCTATTCAGGTTTTTCCGTCTATCCAAAGGTTGATACAGAACATAAAAGAATTTAAGATTATGCATATAAAAACTTATACACTAAGTACAAAGTACAAAAAGTAGATGACATTTAAATAGGTATTTAAGAATACATTAGAAGTAGTCATCCAACTGTGCATTGACATGAACCTGTTTGTGATGTGATGATGGGTGTGATCTTACAGATAGTGTCAGGGTGTCTATACACGATGTGACAATTATGCTGCTGTGCAGCAAACATGCTGCTGTTTTAACAACTGAACTACATTCTAAATTTCTTTTTTCCAAATATATAAGATCAAACATAGCAATAACTAATTTATGATTTGTTATTCATAATAATGACTGCTTTGTTTGTTGAGGTATATAATAATAATGAATTATTTATAGGTCAGATCTCGCAATGATAAGCTAGAAAATCACTTAGCCGAAGCAATAGAGAAATTAAAAAGCTACCACCAGTCTGGTACTACGGCACCAGTCAACTGTGCACCCACTCCTCATTCAGCAGTTGCCAATGCCAAGCTCGAAGATATTGCAGCAGAGTTAGAAGAGCAGCGGGAGCTTGCTAACAATAGACTGGCAGAATTGGATAGGTTACATCGACAGCACAGAGATACATTGAAGGAATTGGAGAAACTTAAAATGGATGTAAGTTTATCAGATTAATAGGCTTGATCAGTCCACATTAGCTGCTTAGAATTTCACACATTTTTCTGTTCATTTGAAGTGTTTATGCAAACTAGTGTAATATGATATAATGCTTGATAATAATTATTGAACAATGAACATTCAATATCTTCTTAGTATAAATCCTAAATGGAATGATAGGTATTATGCAAATGGGATTTGGAACGGAATGGAAAAATTAATTTTCACTATGACCAAAATTGGAAATTAATTTTTGTTAGGCATCACAATGATAAATGACCCCTAATGCAGAAACTCTCGTGATTACAGAATGCTAGGCAGCGCTTCGGCTGTCAAAAATGCTATAGACTTGCACAAATATTATATTATTTTCATAATAGTCCCGATTTGTTTTTGTTTTAGATACGGCAACTTCCTGAATCGGTGATAGTCGAAACGACAGAGTATAAATGTTTGCAGAGTCAGTTCTCTGTGTTGTATAATGAGTCTATGCAAATGAAGACCGCATTGGATGAGACAAGGCTACAGTTGCAAAACGCCAAGAATTTACACATGAGGCAAATTGAGATAATGGAGGTATTACATGTTGTTATTTTCTATTCCGGATACCGATTAGAGAGAGTCAATATAAACATTTGACCATTTGCCCGAGTCTCCCCTTTCAATGATGTTAGTTTGACTAACTCTCGTAGGCTTGACTCTCGAGGTTGCAGGTATATGTATATATTATCAATGTTTTAAATGTCATAAAATCTTTATTCCTAACATTTACGAAGTTTTCTAATAATTAGGAATTTATATTGGTCCATTTTCACATTGAAAAAGTGCTATTGTACGTGTAAGTGTATTGTGTAGCTGAACTCCTTTTTACTGTAGTTTAAGTGTAGTGTTTTTAGCGGGATGAACAAACTAACAGTAATTTTTTTTTTTTAATTGTAGAGTGAAGAGTTAGCACGACAGAAGACGTTAAGAGCAGAAATGATTCAACTAGAAGATGTCCTTGGGCAGCTAAGGAAAGAGTATGAGATGTTGCGAATAGAGTTTGAACAAAATTTGGCTGCCAACGAGCAAACGGGACCTATTAACAGGGAAATGAGGCATTTGATAACTTCACTGCAGAATCATAATCAACAGTTAAAAGGAGAAGTGCATAGATATAAGAGAAAATATAAAGATACCAGTCAGGAGTTGAATAAGGTATATATTTTGAAAAGCTATATGTGTATGTCTAACTTGAGCATAATAGATAGTATAAGTAAAATTAGTGTCCAGCAAATTTATAACTTTACACTCTAAATTATTAAAAAAAAAACTATGTTGAATGTAAAATCTAGTTCGTAAATGACTGATGAGTCTGTGATCATCAAATGACGATCAGGACGTAACATATTACATAACCAAGTATTACTCGTTTATAAGTTATAACTTAAAAAAATCTCAAAATAATGATAGCAACATTTTGGTCCTTCGAGCCAAGATACTGTTAGTAATGTAATGTGGCATTTTGTTTTAGCTTCGTAAAGAAATGGAAGAGGCCAACGTACGGGCGGCACCTGACCAGCCTGACGAAAAGCCACTCGCTGTAAAGAAGGAGGAACCTGACCCTGAGGTAGTTTAATAAGAATAAGTTTATAAGAATTTGAACATTTTTTTAAAGATTTTAATTGAAAAGTTGATGACAAACAAGACTCAAATTCACGTCTCCTAAGTGTACCGTGACTTTGTTGTACCAATTTAGGTACCAAGTAACGTCTGTGATCCTTCTTCATCTTAATACTTTTTATACGTTTCCTCGCACCTCTTGCTTAAAGTAATTATAGTTTTAAGTATTTTGTAAAGCTCTCAATTCTTTCATCACAAAAAAAACTCAATTAGTTAATAAAACATATTTCTTTGCATTGATTTTAGAGTGAAGAGGGCGCTAGTAGTGGCGGCGGCGAAAACAAACATTCGCTGGCAAAAGACCATGGTCGAGCGAAAATACAGGAACAGGAACTCATCATCAAAGATCTCAAGCAACAACTTAAGTAAGTGTCTTGCTATAATATTAGCAGCTTTCTAGATGATGCACTGAGCATAATAAAACACTTAAAGTTAAAAAACGCGAAATATATTAGTTAAACATTTTTCAAAATGTAATTTCTATAGAAAAGCGGTGAACGAGCAAAAGGAACTGAAACTTCTTCTCGACATGTACAAAGGTGTCAGTAAAGAACAAAGAGATAAGGTGCAGCTTATGGCCGCTGAGAGGAAAGCTAGGCAGGAGCTTGAAGACCACAGGCAGAAGGCAAAGATGGCGCAGGTATTTATTTAATTTTGTATTTTAGGAATACCCATGCCAAAATTAAGTAAACCTTGGAAATTATCAGTCAATAACCATAGAGCCAAGATCAAGAAGTTATTTTTTAATTCGGTTATCCGAATATTTATTGCTATACCAATTATCCTCATACTATTCGACCGAATGCCGAACACTTGCTTGTGTGCAATGTATCTTGTCAAAATTGAAAAATTAATGGCATTTTTGTCTGGCAGAGATAGCACCATAATATTAGTTATCTCTTTCTAACAATATTAATTAAATTTTGTTTGTCTTTTAGGAAAGCAAACGCGAGCGTCGAATGGCTGACGAAGACGCGTTAAGAAAGATTAAACAGCTGGAAGAACAAAAGTATGAGCTGCAGAAGCAGTTGTCCTGCGCGAGGCCGAATACTGATCCTCTACATGGATTCTCCAGACCTTTCGCTGGATCACAGGTTTGAACTTCTCTTCTTTGTTTACCATTAAGTATTAACATCTAAGGCTTTTTAATGATTCATCGAAATTTGAATTAAAAAGAAGGAAAAAGTGTTGAATTCCTCCTGATTTAAGATGATAGTGGGAAAGAGACAACCATGTTTTAACTTGTTCATAAAACAATATGTTATTGTTATTTTTCTATGATAGGTGTTAGTATGTAATCTTTAATATTGCATGTGTGTGTTTATATATTTTAAACAAATATTGTGTGTTCTACTAGCTGTGTCAGCGACTCCGTCCGCGTAGGATAGCAATTTTGGGCATCAAAATTTATTTTTGCAAACCGCTCACCCTAGATTCCCGTCCTTCTTGCAAGTTAATTTAAAAAAATAGACATATAGTGTCTCTGACATTTTTTTAGATTATATTATATTTTTATATATCTTACATATTTTTTGGGTTTGAACCGATTCCGCAGCGAACGCGACGGAAACGCGTTTTCTCCATTTTTCGCTTTTTCTCCATTTTCCGCTTTTTCTTCTCTGCTTTTAGTTGCGCAATGTTTTATAGCCTTCCTCGATAGATGCTCTAACCAACTCAAAGATCAAAACAATTCCCAGCAGTAGTTCCTGAGATTAGCGCGCTTAAACAAACAAACTCTTTAGCTTTACTAGTATATTAATATACATATTGTAATTGATGAACTCACTATTTCCCAATACTAAAGTGGCATGCTCACAGTTGGCTTTATTGCAGGAGGAGGAAGCCCTGCTGAACGAGATGGAGGTAACGGGCCAAGCGTTCGAAGACATGCAGGAGCAGAACTCGAGGCTAATCCAGCAGTTGAGGGAAAAGGACGATGCCAATTTCAAGCTGATGTCGGAGCGAATAAAAGCGAACTCGCTACACAAGCTGTTGCGAGAGGAAAAGCAGTTGCTTCAGGAACAGGTATTCTTATTGACAATTTACCACTATTGTACGATCCATCGTAATAAGTACCAATGATCTATATTGTCACCAAAAAGAAACAGTACATAACATCAAATAAAATTGATTAAACTAAGGACAAATGGCGTTAAAAATCTATCAAGCAACCGCGGTGGAAATCAGAACACAATAATAAAAGAGTTATTCGTGACAGCAGGAAAAAATTCTTTGAATCATTTATATTTTAAAATGTACGGGATTTATCCCTTTTATCCTTTCATGTACCCAACACTCTTGTGCTTGGAACGGTGGGCTACACTAAGTTGAGTGTCAGAAGGATTTTGCTCTAGCTGTTTATATATTTAAGTTATTAAGAGGGAGAGTACACAACATCGGCGTCCTAGGCAAGTTAAACATAAACGTGCCTGACTGTTACAGGTACAAAAGACACGCGCCACCTCTTCTAGTGGTACCTTTTGCTAGAACGAACTTAATGGCAAAAAAAAATCCTAAATCTATTACACAAAAAAATATATATTTTTTTTGCAGTCCTTGGGGTGAACTCACAAATACTAAATAATAAATGTTTATTTTGTGTTACGAAAGATAGTATGGTTTAAGTTCATGTATATTAGTTCTATTATAAATATATTGTTTCGTTTTTTAAGATCTCTCTCGCATTGGATTCCATCTGTCATGACAGTGCATATAATATGTAAATAAAAACAATAATAGAAAAATCACAATCATATACAGAACTTAATTAAATTACTTTGAGATAAGTAGTAGGACATCATTGAGGAATATTATCGATGCGCCCAACTAATCTTATAATGAGTTTCTCTGCGAGTACACCATTTCTTTGTAGACTCATTCTCTCAAACACTTACTGGACTACTGATTGTTTATATACATTTTTTTATGATAGAGGACAGACACGCACTTGCTTCACTTTGGGGGAGTGGGGGCGGAAGTAACCTAATATATGCGCTATTGACCTTAGATTTTGAAAACCGAAGCGCTCTTAAACTTTGCTGCTTTTTCATCCGTCCAACCATCCATCTAAAATCCAGTTTTCCGGATGAAATCCGACATGTGTCAAAAAAACTTTTAATTTATTAATAACATTGTGGACCTTGTGGGGGGTATTATTTAACCCACGACCATTGTTGACATTTGGCTTTTAGATTTAAAATTTAGTCCATGTGTATATTGTGCAAATTATATCTATGTATTATGTTTATATTAGAACTATTTTGTATTTATCGGATGCAATATTTACAGGTAGTCACCAGGGATCAGCAAATCGAATCAATGGGTTTAGTAGCACGGAGGTTAGAGGAGAAGGAGCGGTTGCTCCAAGCCACTCTATCTGCTGTCGAGAAGGAGCTGTTACTCCGTCAGCAGGCCATGGAGATGCACAAGAGGAAGGCAATAGAGTCTGCGCAGTCGGCGGCCGATCTCAAACTGCATCTTGGTAATACTTAACAATTAAGTTTTTAAATAAATAACACAATTGAACGGTTTTAAACGCGATATAATATATTAGTTACTCATCGGTAGCATACCGAGAAACGCGATGACACCGTTAGTCAATTCTGCAAGGACACAGCCAGTTTCGCAAAATACTAACAATTAGAGAAGAGATGGTGCTAGCGTAGCAGTTTCACCTTGCCATTAGATAAACCCTGCATTTTTAGTCTCTCTATAACTTAACTCATATATTTCGAGGGTTAAACCGTTAAAAGTAATTTGATTTGATAAAATAATTACTTTAATTGCCCTTGAGTTATGACGCAGTCAAACATGGTCGAGTACACCATATGTTATCCATATTATGTATCCCAATGTGTTAATAACTAATGCTCAACAGAAAAGTACCACGCACAAATGAAGGAGGCGCAACAAGTTGTCGCTGAGAAGACGAGCGCGTTAGAAGCCGAAGCGTATAAAACAAAAAGACTCCATGTAAGTTTCACGGCACATTTTTTTCCCCTTTTCCGTTTCCAAACGTGATATATCCAATAAATCAGTTGCAAAATTGTGTTTGTCCTATAATTTACAAAAGGAACGATCTTATACCGTTATGATTTATATTTAGTAAAGAAATAATAATTTTTGGCGCGTAATAAACTATTGTTATTAGTTGTTGTAATCTATGGCTACTAATCAACGGTTTGGTCTAGTTCCCTAAAGAGTTTAAGAGGAAATCTAGATAGTAAATTAATATTGGTAAGTGCCGTTCAATTCACGAAACATCGTCCACAGATGACGAATCCGCAAAGTTATAGCGCGTTGCGATTTCAGTCTGTGGCTTTCAAAATAGGTTGATTGTGGTATTATATTGCTTAGAAAAATAAATTTTTGGTATTGCTTACATTAGTCGTTTTCACTATTTCCAGGAAGAGTTGGCTATACTACGTCGTAAAGCGGAACGAATGAAGAAGATGGAGCAAGCCGGTAGCAGCATGGACGAAGTTCTGCTAGAAGAGATTCGGGAATACAAGGAGACGCTTACGTGTCCATCGTGCAAGGTAAAAATCGTTGGATTTTATTTGGTAATTTTTACTCAATTTTGTCATCTTACTTTTATTTTGCCCTGGAGATAGAAAGGGTACGTGCACGAAATGCACGGAAAAGTCAAAGTCATATTTAAGTCTTACTGCCAATACTTGTGCTTATAGGGCTCATTCTATGGAGGCCTCCTTTATTAAACATCTCTTCGTAGTACAGCAATGTTTTCAGCCATAGTTTTCATAGGCAGATTTTAGTTTAAATAAAACACTTTAACGGTTTTAAAGGCGATATATTAGTTAAACTTATTTGAAAATTATTTTTAACTTCGGCCCGACGTTTCGGATGCTTTGCAGCAGCCGTGCAGTCTCTCCGTGAACACGTGTTTTATTTAAACGTGTACTACTCGCGTAAACTATAGACAGTAGATTTTAGTTTAACTTATTTTTAACTACGACCCAACGTTTCGGATCCTTCAGATGATTGATTTATACGTGAACCAATAGCACTAATTCACAATATTAACATAATTTACAGGTGAAGCGTAAGGACGCGGTACTAACGAAATGTTTCCACGTGTTCTGCTGGGATTGTCTGCGCACGCGGTACGAGACTCGTCAACGGAAATGTCCCAAGTGCAACGCTGCGTTTGGCGCCAACGACTACCACCGACTATATCTCTCTACTTAAATGACACAGATCTGGAACTTGCTGACGAACATGCCGCAAACATCGCTACAGTGTATATTTACGCTGACGCCGAGCTAACGCGAATACAGAAGGAAGATTGTAAGAGTATGAGTTATTGAAACGCTTTTCGAAGTAGTGAGTGTGAAGTAATTTGAACCACTTCACTGAATAAACCGGAATGTGAATCTACTTCAAATCAGAGTGGTTGATTGCCATCGAACACTCCTGGTTAGTTCAGTATAGTGGGTTTCACCTACACCCTGTATATAAGTAACCCACCCCGCAACAAGATATTAATTTATACTTTCCATATTATATTTACTTTCGTGTCGTGAAAAATCTAATCGAGATAAGTGTAAATAGAAGCTGAGCATAATTATGTGGAATATTCTCGAATTCTCAATTGAAAATTCGCTTTTTTTTTCTTATAAAATCATTTTAGCATGACATTCTCTTGTGATATATGGGTGATTTCTTTAAAATATTATTGACAGCAAAAATGTATCAAATTGAATTTGCATTAAGGCTACACAAAGTAGATCTCAGATTTGTCCTGTCTATAGTTTGTGCGAGAACACATCAAATAAAAAAATAACGGTTTGAAACGCATAATATTAGTTGTAAAGCAACATAAACGTGGGGTCGTTGGGAAGTCGTTGTAATTAGATAATAAAATAGATTTCACGTTTTAAGCCGTTAAATGTTTTGTATTTAATCAGAACGCTGGGCATATAAGACTTATGAACTGTTTTAAAATATGTACTTCAATTTTCCTATGATAATATATGCCCCCGGTTACTCACGAAATCTTTCAATATTCGAAGCTATAGAATAATATTGGTATAAATTGTTAAGGCTTCCGCGACCATTAAAAAAATCAATTTCTCAATTATAAAGTCGAATAGAAAAACGCAAGTATTAATCATATGTATGTTTCTCTTTCGAAGTTATTGGCATTACAGAAGAGAAGAGAGGGAGAGATTAAACAAACAATTATGAGAGGGTTGCGATGAATTGAGATCTCAAGCGTTTGTTTTGCATTGTTTTTAAATTAATTGTGCATAAAATGAATGGGTTGGAAAGCAAATTTATTTACCTACATGGCTATTGGACTGTTGCAAACTATAAAAAGTTTGTGAACGATGTTTAACATAGTATAATTACATTAATAGCCAGTATTTTTATTAAAAAAAAAGAGATTTGTTATCTATAGTATAAAATATTTTACGTATTAAGTTCACAGCGAGCTGTCACGTGATCAAAATCACCCCTTACCGTTTATTGCAGTTAAACAATTTAATTTATGGTACATGTTGAAACATTTGTATTAAATAACTGTCAAATAGCCAGTTAGGTCCTTATTTAACTTGTCAAGCCCATTTTAATGACTTATTAGTATTGGTGATTCACTGATTTATAGATGAAAGTAATTACTGGGCATCGACCGTTAGAAAGAGACAAAAGTCGTTTTGGTAACGTATAACGCTGTCACTGTCTTATATAGTGGCAAAAATGTGTTTCGTATAAAATATGTATATTTGATTGTTTCCAATTCTATATTGAATTCAAAAATAATTTTGTTTTTATAACGAACAATCCATTTTCATATAAATAAACAAATGAAGGAAATAGTGTGCAATAAATTAAACTTTTGTATACGACGAATAGTATACTTAACATCAATTATGTGTTGAAAATTGTTATTTGTTGGAAAGGATCTGCAGTAAGATATTTTGAAGTATAGTCGAATGTAAAATACAATCTTTCAATAGGCGTGAACTGTCAATATTATCACGCTATATTGCACAAGGTATAGTTCTGAATTTTAACTTTAGAATACGAAAATCTGACAATTGACAAACGTGGCGTTGGCTTTTTCTTGAATTCTACTGTCGATGGTCAGTAATTTATGACCGATATTGTAGTTAGGTAAGATTTTCTAAATGCGTGAACTGTATTGTAAAAATGCACTCGACAACTATTTATTTAGCGTTCATGTAAAATAAACTAACTAGGATATATTTAGGGAATTTTCTATGTTGTGTATATGAGTATTTAACGAAACATCTGCACCGTCGTTCTGATCGGCAATTGCGACAAGAGCTGTTACAACATTCTTCAATTGCAATATATAAGCATAATACCTTTTAATACTGTGGTCTTGGTCTAATGGTTGTAATATATAGCTAATATTCAATACGTCGTGGGTTAAATCCCATCGGGTCTTACATGTTTCTAATCAAATATTCAATACGTGTCAAGAAGATATAATTTCGGTCAGTCTAGATTTCCGAATATCCAAAGCCAAATTAGCTCGACAGCGCATTTTGTTTAGATGTACTCGCCGGGGTACTTCACTGTGTTTTTGTGTAATTTGATATTCTGTTTTAAAGGTAGGGTTTAAAATTGGTATCCTGAGAACAGTGCCACATCAAGGCGTTGTACATGATATTAATAATTTTATTCTCCAGAAGCGGTTGTATCAGCTCTATGTTATGTCGCGTCGACACCGACTCTAACCCTAGTTCCTTGCGAGTTTTCGAGTTTAAAAATGAATTTTGCAATATTATATAAGTAAGTAATCGAGACAGTATTCGCTGGAGCGCAGTTGGTTAATCGTTCATTCCGTATTTTATATTGACTTTTCCACTTAAATATGAATTAAAACGAACAGTTTCTGTAAAGAATTTATGATGCATTTTGCGAGTCTTTCGCGTACGTTCGTATTGTTGTATATTGATTATAATTATAAAGATTCGAACAAGTTAGCATTGTTTAAATGTTTAGTGATAAGTGATAAGGTATGAACTGCCGACGTTTTATTCGCTTGCTAGGCAATTTGCTAAAATGATAATTGTACATTTTGAGGGTAGTTTGAGTATTAGTAAAATGGAACGGGCTCTTTTGAGTGACGATTTCGTTTATTTCTAATAATTGTGCACATGTCAAATAATAATGTTTTGTTATTTGACATTTCATAAAAAAACTAATATTTTATATAATTTATTTAAACTTACTGTATTATAATAATTTCGATCCAAACTACTAGTAAGCATGTTCATTTGATTCCTATTTGAATATTCGAGGCAAGTATAGCTTATAAAACGTCGGCTTCGTTGTAGATAGACAAATAGCTTGCAGCCCCACTGACTGATATATTTATATATGTTTAGGTTTAACATATAAATTCAAATCTGTATATCGGGTTAGGTATTTGAAAATTTAACCCTACTGTAAGGCAAGTTGAAGAGACCACATTTGACATTACATCGAACTTTGACAACGCAACGCTTTTATATTACATACTTATTGCAACAATAACTATAAGATATTTTGCGAATTTGCTTGTCATCTCATGGAGTGATGTCAAATGTGGTGAATAATAAGTCCATTACACCATTACACTTCAAAATTGTAAACTCCGCATTCGCTTACAAGCTGTAGATAATAATTATGTACTTGTTAATATCATTAATTTTCGTTCTCATAGTTGTTGTAAATAAAACAATTGAAATCGCTGTTCAGGCCCGAATCGGAAACCTGTGGCTGGTTCATGATATCTGAAGGCTGCGACAAAATTAAATATTAATCATCAATGTATGTTTATTAAATTGACTAGTGACAAATAAATTTTCTCAAAATATATACCAGCGATGTCATTACTAGTGTCACTTTCTTGTGTTTTATTATATCTTCGCTGTTTTGAACAGTGATGTAGATTTTGAGTTCAAGAACAAAGAAGAACGGATTGTAGATCGAATTTCTAGTATATTTTGGTTGACCTGACCTCAAAAGTGAAATGTTTCAAAACTTATTTTGAAGTGTTACCACGAGATTTTGAGTGTGGCTCAGCTGGATAAATAACGGCTTAATTATAAAGCTTCGGAGAAGACAGACTGGTTCCATCAGGATATTTTAAATATTTAAAAGAGTTAACAGGGTCGCTGGAGCTCGAGGATGTTGTCTGGTCCATTAAAACCAGCCGAAAACCAGGTATTCAAGTAAACTTTTTTACGAACTACATAGTTGCATTTTTCTGCGGAACCTTTTCATATTTTATCAGTAATTCGTTTTTATTCGTGAAAATACTATAAAAAGTTTGTGTGCCACAACAAATTTAAGCTTTGTAAGCCCAAAGCGCAAACGCAAGTTGACGACAGTAACCTGATAAGGGTTATTTGAAGGATTTTGAAATCAGCCAAATGAAACAATCTTTTACAAAAAAGATATTTTATTTACAATAATATATACATAATATTATGTAACACAGTGGAATTCTGTCTCGACGTTCTACAATCAGCACCGGATGCAAGCATAATGGACGATGTGTGACAATATTTTAACTTACAATAGAATTATTCTATGCAAGACTAATATTTTTAGGGACAGAGCGAAGTTACCTAAATCTCCTGTCAGCTAACAAAATGTCAGATTTTTCTGTTAATTGACTAGATTAAAAAATAAGTTATGTACATTTTTTGTCTCGGTTACATGTATACTCCATTACAATATTTAATGGCACACCTTAATTTGTGATTTGACAAAAACATTAAAAATATGGCAAAAATATATACTAAGCTACAAGATATAAAAAATAAATCAAAAGGACTATACAAAAAGAAAATGTGGATTAAATGCTTTGGGAATGAATTGGTGAAAAGATTGTTAATTCTTGTAATACGCTATATAGTTACGAGACATGCAGCAATTCACACTAGACAAAGTTTATCACTTCACAAACACAAATTATTTAAAGTACTGTACTTAGAAATATGTCGTAGCGGAGAAATATTTAAATAACTTCAACACGACAGTATTACCAGTGTTGCCAGACATCCCGATTCTAACATAGAAATGTATTTTTTTGAGAATATTTAAAAATTAATAAAGCTTCTTTAATTTCCTGAAACAAAAGCTTTTACCGAACACGTTTCAAAATCTCCAATGGAAAGAAATCTGGCACCTCTGGTTTTTATCTATGGCAATTGTAATTAAAGTGGTTAAATTCTGTGATATGACATTTTAAACTTTCAAACCCATCTCGATCTATACATTGGTTCTCATTACCTACGTAGTAAGTAGTTCAAAACACGTATATTTGAAATTTACGTGTTTTGAAACACTCCTGTTGTCTCTATTAACTACAATTAGAAAGAGACAAACAGTCCTTTTTCAAGTAACTTATTGCCAGTGTCGAAAATACTTTTATACTTAGTTTAGTTACACCTAACATCAGTCTAAAACAAAGGACAACAGACGGCAAATTAACGACATAGCCATCTATGAATTGTAACGCCAACAATAGGTAAATAGAAGCTAAATTAATCAAAATAGATCCTAATTTTTGTTACTGGCAAGCTCGTGTTTGTGCGGGACGGATGATATGTATGACTTTAAGTAATTGTTTCGAAAAATGGTTATAAGAAACTAAACGCTTATAAAATTCCGTACTAGATTATGTAAGCTACATAAAAGTGATAAAAATCTTCAATGTTATGCGAGGTAACTTTGCAAATAATTTCCTGCTGCAAATATAATGTGAAAGTATGAAATCCCATTTTTGGGGCATGGGGCGTTTTCAGATGGATTCGATTACACCCCAAAATTACACGCACTGAATGTTATGCATCTAACCATTGAGTAACATATCTAAGTAACACTTGCTTATACACAAAAAATATAACAAGACTTGCCTAAAACAGTACATTTACTGCCATTTATTATATTTGCCATTCTATAATGCACAGAATGTACACTTCGTATAGAATTTGCATCTACAGTATATCCTTAAAAGCTCGTCGATTTTTTAAACCTAATCCGTTCCGAATAACTTCTGTAATATTATTGGCAACATTGCTTAATCTTAAGTTAATTGCATGACACGTTTCAGGCTAACGATGAAGTCTTTTATTTACTATCGACAAAATATTTTGTAAATTTTGAATGATTTTATGAAAGTGAAACGTTTTTCATATCTATTAGTGACGTTTTTTAGAATTACTTTCAAATTTCAATAGAATACTGGCAGGTCTCTTTACGTATTGAAATGTCCCCATAAGGTACTTTTATAATATGACACGAATATAAATTCAATACTGAAACTAAAAGAAAATATTAAACCTCCTCTAGGAAAGACCTAGATTTAAAACTTAGGTTATGTACAAGCGGCGGGGTGAGGTGCGAGGGGGGACGCAGCTGGGGAGTGCGCGTGAGCAGGTCTCGGAGGCGCAGCCAATGCGAAGGCGAGGCGTTCTAATTTCAACTGTAAGGGGTGAAGTCTCGACCAACTGCCCAGAGTGGATAAACTCGATAAGGCGCCCTCTACCGCCTCGTAGCGTAAACGCCGTTCACTTTCATCGCACGATGAGAGCTCCTGGAAATCATATTTCACAATTACGCATAAAACAATAAAATGATTAAAAATACTAATACCCTACCAGGTTCAATAAAGTTCAGATAGACATTATAATATAATTTCATTTCAATTTGAAAATTTCATTATTGTAATTTAGTGGTTGCAACTAGTGCCTAATAATACTTTGGAAAACCGACTCGAAGGACCAGAATGTAAGCTTTACTTCGACTTAAATAAAACTAAAGTAATCGTGCGTTATTATTACACCGATTTTTAGTATGAGTCAATATGTATTTCTTATTTTCAAGAACAGAAAATAAATTACCTGTTCGATTATTTCGACGTCGTCCTCCTCAGTGGATTGGACCAGCTGATTTTTGAGTGCCTGGAATAAGAGAAATCACCGTATAGTTCGCTCCGGATAACAAACCGCTAGGAATCGCGTTTGAAGCTATGCACTAAGGCTCGCGCAGGTTCTATGAGCTGTTTTCATTCTTGGAGCTACATGAAGCGTGGCTCTTTCAAATATTTCACATTTTCCGTTACCCGGTGACTATGTACACTTGTGCTGGGAGGTCGCGAGTCAACGCGCTAAGCTTTCGACGAATGTGTATGCTCTCTTTTATACGTACAGTGTCATATATGCGTCTGTTATAGATTGTAAATGTGTTAAACACACAAAATATATACATATACATATTTATTTGGACTCACTATGAAACAATTGAAAGTCGGATTGAAACCTGTAGGCCTATGACCTGTATTACGTCATTAAAATGTTAACTCCAAACTTAAACAAATATCTTAAAATAAGGTGTGAAATACCCACAAAATCAATCTTACTTTCAAATATTAAATAAGCACATACATTGAAAATTAATAAATACAATATATTAAAAATAAATAGTGGCAGTTATAAATTTAAAATATAATAAATAAAGCATTTAAAAGCAAAGTCAAACACATTATTCTATATACAATGTTGGTTATTATACTATATGTGTTAAGCCGTGGTGTGTGTAAGAGAGCATACATGTATTTGTTTGTGTGCGTGTCTATAAGCGTGGTTACGTTACGTTTGGGGTATAGACCTCGCATCTTTATTCTTGACTCGAGATCGCCAAGCAGGCCCTGAATGTTGTAAACACCTGTTTCATATTAAAACCGTTACGGCACTAACAGTATGTTGCTAGGAATTGTCAAGTTTTCATCAGGAGTATATTGGAAGAAAAAGAGGTTTTTTTAAATTCATGTCAAACATGAGTTATCGAATGGAAAGAGCGAACGACCTATGAATTATTTCGATGAAAGTATATGTTATAATTAAATTATTATTAAGTTATTTTACCTTTGATTATATTAGTTTTGTTTGTCCATTTGCTATCTTTAATATAGACACAGTTAAGCTGATAGCACATTTGTCAGCGACGTACCCGCACGTGACAAACGCACAGACTTTAGTATTCGTAGTATGCGAATGGGAAACCGTGCTTTGCCGCCAAATGTGCGATCATCTTTATTGACACTTTAAATAACGTAGGCTAATGATTATAATATAAAGATTCCACTTTTGGTATTAAAAAAAGCGTATGACTTGTACGAAATGAGTATGTAAAGAATGTGTGGACGAATGCAACAACTCACTTCTATGGAGTGACGGTACTGCTCCATCATGTGCTTAGACGCGTCCAGCTCAGCCAGCTTCTTGACGACCACGTCAGCCATGTTTCGCTCAGTCACGTCCAATTTCTCTCTGAAATTTGTATGGACTGTAGCCGATGCATCGAGCCTAATGTCAACTACGATGCTTGACGTTGACAGTGACTGACATGCGCACAAATGATGATGAACGTAAGCACAATCGCCAAATCGTACCTGACGGCACGACGTTCCTTTTTTTTATTCCAGGAATTATGATAATAACTCATCATAAAGCCAGGAAAGAAAGATATGGATTATCTCCAAATATGATACTTTGTCTCTCTGTTTCTGATTAGATATTAAACTAAATAATGTGGATATTTAAAAAAAAAAACAAATACAAAAAATCGTGGCATATTGGAATATACGATTATGTATTTTTATTGTTTTTAAATGCAAAAATTTATCATCGACGCGCTATCGATTGACAATTGATCACTTGACACATGATTGACAGTTGCTATTGCCTTTGTTTTAACACCTACTTAGTTTAAAAACTTCTTGAATTTACCCTGCCATAAACTTATTCTGCTTTCAAAAAAAATCTATTTATATGTTTAATGAAAAAGCTCGATAGAATGAATGCTCAGTTCTGCAGTTAAAACATGTTTAATTAAACTTACTTATGTATTCTAACCTCAAATCTTTTTGGGGAAATTGAATTATATTGGCATTTTAGATAATGTTTTCGTATAGGGTGGTATTTAATACATTAAAGTAAAACAAACTCTTTATGTTTTGTTACTGGTCGCGAAAAAAAATTATCAGGTACAGTACATATAGAATTTTGGCCATTGTTCTTTCCATGCTAGAATTGGAATTTTCTATGATATTAACTTTTTACTTATGGTACAGAGCCTGCCGTTTATCATTTTATTTTGATGTAATATTGTAAACTTTTTGGTCCCAAATTAGAGAATTTCCCTTCGTTGAGCAATGTGCGTTGTAACTAACCTTAATGTGTCAGCCAGTGCTGCCCCCGGTGCGTCCTTGTGCCTCGCTGCTGCAGCAGCTAACGCTAGCGCTCGAACCAGCTCAGCCAGCCGTTGGTCTAGCAGCACGACTCTGTCGAGCAGCGAGCCTCGTGCCGCTTCCTCAGCTTCTGCCTCGGAGCGCTGACGCTGTGCTATCGCGGCTGACAGGTTGCGGAGTGACTCGCGCTCCGATCCAGAGCCGGACTCGGGATCTAAATCAAAAGTTCGATTAAGTATTGACTATACCAGTCAATTCTCAGTGTGTCTGTACTTTAAAACGCGAAATATAATAATAACTAATATTAGTTGTTTGAAAATTATTTTAATTGCGATCCGATGTTTTGGATGATTTGCAGCAGCCATGTTCATGGACAGTGTAAAGATAGAGGGTGTCTCTAATTTCAAAGTACAAATTGCAACGCTAGCGTCGTAGGTGGTATTTGACGAAACTTACGGGTAAAACCGCTTGTATCTTATAGAGGCATAGTAGCACAAAGGATTGGAATAAAGTAGGTACCAGTACAAAGTCTTTTATAAGCCTTACCTTTATCTATATCTCCAAAAGAGTCACGTTCAGGAGACAATTCTTCACCGCTCCATGCGCCAGACCACCATTCTTCGGCGCATTCTGGAACCAACGTGAGTTTTGAAGAAACACTACCTCGCAGAAATTTTAAACAATTTTTACACGTTAAAAACATTTGAAAGGATAAAGAAATTCTAAATCCTGTTTAAAACACAACGTTCCTATTTGTCTGTGCTATCACATACTTTTTGTCTGAGTTGTATAAACTAGGATTCTTGACATTCCATAGACAACTTGAATTAAAACTGATGCGGTGCTATTTTCGGGCTTGTTCGTCTATTCTATGGCTATCGGGGTCATGGGTTTTATCCCCACAGGGTCCAACATATTATTGATTTATAATTTCTTGAAACATAGACTTCGCCTGGAAATCTGGATATTAAATGGATGGCAGGAATATTGAAATTTCGTCCGGGTTACGAAGGTCCATAGATGAAAAGCCGTTAATTCTGTCTGTGGATAAAGCCAAAATTGGTGACAGCGCAACTTGTTGCGATGTTATGGCTGGGATATTCCACCTCATCATCAAATGAGCCCCATGCTTGCCATTCTTAATCATAAACAAAAATTATATCTAAATAACTTTTTTATTTATAGATTATACCTGGATCAGTTACTAGACAAGGTTCCGTCTCCGAGTCGAGCAGTTCGGCGGAGTTATCATTGTCGTCAGAAATGTGCGAGCGATCGTCATCTGCGTGTACGGGCGCGGGTGCGGGTGCGGGCACAATGGGCGTACTCGCCGCTGCTGTACGCAAAGCACGCACCACTGCACCGAGGAGACCACCGCGGGATTCCTCCTCTGGCGATAAAGTTTCGCCGCTGTCGCTTCGACTAGAAGATACATATAATCAGTATCAAACCTATACTAATATATAAACAGGGCTCTATTTTATAAAGATGAGGAGGTTCGCAAAAACAAATTTTGATGCCAAAAAAACTACGAAGTCACACAACATTATTTCTTTGTAGTTCAAAGTCGTTGGTTAATAATAACTAAATTTTATCTATAAATATCGCTATTTCTATTTTATATTTATAAAATGTAAATTTAAAATATTTAAAGGGTGCAATAGTAAAAGTCAGGCAAATTTCCTCGTCGGGGAATGCTCTACGTATCCTTATAGTGGCAACCATTCAACCATCATGATGGCGAAACGTCAATAACTTACTCAATTACGTAAGAAAAATTACACAATTTACATTATTTAATTACACAAGTTACGTTATTGCACGTGATGGCCCTATATAAATTTAAAATCGATTATAAACTAAAAAAATACGTCTCGGGTAGGACTTTTGAGACCACATAGTCGATTTTTCGACCTATTGATATATTGTATTAACATAAGACATTGAACCTTTAATTATCATTTTATTCATCATTAATAATCGATTTTAGGTTCAAGTTCATATTAATTAATACGTAAAACGCTAACTTACAAAAAATGTTATCAATTCCTTAGTCTTATTTTTGCTGTTGCTATAACTTAACTTGAAGGGCAACATATTTAGAATTTTACCTGTATACGTCATTATGAAAGACAGTCGGTTGAATTGCATGCTGCGGCAGTGCATATGCGGCGCGCACGGCGTCTGTCAACGTGCGTAATTTGCGAGAAAGTGCGTCCAGCGCGTGCGCGCTCGCATGTGCGCCGCCCCCCACGCTAGTTGCGCCACTGGCGCCAGTAGCAAAGCGGGCGCGCGCAGATGCTGCTAGCGCTTCTTGACGACGCTGTTCGCACATGCGCACTAGTTGACGACATTCACCGCGTCTGGAATACCAACAATAGACAATTACTAACATGTTTGTAGCTTACGCGAGTAGTATTTAAATAAAAACTGTTAACGGTTTAAACACGAAACGTATTGGTTAAACTTATTTACAAAATGTGTATGTATTTTAATACATGTAATTTATTACATATTAAAAAAATTGCATAGGGCGGACGGCCTCAAGAAACAGATGACTCAAGCATGGATTTTTAGTTTGGTATTTGATGTCCATCTTCTATTTTAAGTCCCTCCGTAACCATGTCTGCTGCAAAGCGTCCAAAACGCTTTAATAATTTGTGAATAAATTTGACTAATGCAATTCTCGGTTTAAACCTTTAAGTGTTTTATTTAAATTTCTAAAATAACCTTTCCCTGAAAAACCCTTTAAATATTGTTTAAAATGCATGTCTATTTCACTGATCGCTTCTGTCACAAACAAGTAGTTGCTCAGACTAATGCCCTGCCCGTCCAAAACAATCTATTGTTTCCCTGAGACTCGACTCAGGATCTTAAATTGTTGAAGTTTAGACTAAGCAAGCTATTTCCAACATCCTATACCTTCGTTCCAGGTCAGCGTTTAGCCTTGCGACCTCAGCTTCGGCGTCTCGCAGCGAGTCCCCAAGGGCACCGGTCTCCGCAGCCAGGAAATCCTGCATCTCAGCCGCTTCCCGTTCTGCTTCCGACAAACGAGCTTCGAAGACGCGTGACCTTTCGCGGGCTTTGCATGCCTCCTGAAAAATAAAAATCTATAGTATATTTTTTGTTACTTGGCATTTTTCGTAAACAAACACAAATTACATTAAATCTTGATTTTCTCTTTTCTCTTTTTGATTCAAACTAAAAACATTTTGAGACACTGGATTATACAATTAAACAAATAAAGATCCTAAAAATGAATTTACGCAAATGAACAGATTAAAATTTCTTTAGTTTGACATTTACATAAGGCTGGGAACAATAAGCAGTATCTACGACTGAAGATAAGCAAAGTCAACGACAATAGAAGATAAAGTCCCACTCATGCACAATCGCGAAAGAGCGTTATAAACGTCGAGTAAAATAATAATGCCTTAAACAAAAGTAAGTAGTCATAAAAGTGATTTTTAATATTGAGGTCGTTCAGTCCATACAAAATGGATATTTCTTTAACCCTGTGTCATCTGTGGCAACAACTACACTCTATTCCTTACTAAATCGCTATGGTTTGAAATCGGCCATATTTGTTGTGACCTTTTGCCGAGTTAGAAAAAAACCACTAACCTTAAAAAAGATCGATTAACAGTCATTTGAAATCGTTAATTAATGCAATAAAAAATTACATATAAACTAACTCTAGCACAGGAAATAGACAGCTTATCACTTCTAGACGATAAAATTGAAGTCAACTTTCTAGTTGTCTAATTCTCTCTTCTATTCAAAGTTCATAGTTACAAACTCAATGAAAGTCAAATTTGATATAGTTATGTAAGTCAATAATTTGGGTAGTTACATTAGACCACAGATTATATTTTTTGCAGAACTTTAAACTATTTAAAACGCGAAATTTATATTAGTTATGCCTGACTTAGTAAATAAAAATTGTAAATTACTAATTACTTGTCATTATTGACGTATTGACAAATGTGACTATAATACCAACTACGACGCAACAGATGGCGTTAGCGTAGCAGTTTTTGCTTGATATTAGCGACATCTTTAGTCTCCCCGTGACTACGGCTGCTGCTAAGCATCCAAAACATCGTACCGTGGTTTTAAAAAATCCACACAAGTTTAATTTATATGGATCGCGTTTTAAACCGCTAAAGTGTTGTATTTCAAAGTATGAAAGATTCTAATATATCTGTAGTATATTATGAAGCAATCAATTTATTAGTACGGAAGGTATCACTTATAGAAGATCCGTACCGCGTGCAATTTGTCGCAGTGCTCCCTCAGCGTATCTATTTCCCCCCTCTGTCGGGTCGCTAGCTCCTCGGCGGACCGCAATTGCTCTTCGAGGGCTCTTAGACAGCCTTCCGCTCCAGCGCCAGCGCCTGGGACTAATAATAGCTAATAATTAATTGTCCTAGTACTAAAGAGAGAACGACTATGTTGTATAAACACGTGGACAGGCAAGAACGAGCTTCACTCGATGGAAGAAGACCATCATTTAACATCTAAACAAGATGATCTATTTTGGCTTTTGACGGAAAACGAAACTAAACTGTGGTTAATTCAGATTTTAGATGAGAAAAGTGTTACAAACGAAATTAATTAAAAGCATGTTGGACTCGATGGGGATCGAACCAGCATCTCGTTTGAACCGTCAACGAGCTCGCCGGTCTCTAAACAAAAGGTGCAAAATATGTGGAAAATTTTCCTATGTTTCGAATCCGGTGCTTTTTGCACTCGATGCCATGCGGTTAGTTATTGTACAATGAGAGCCAAATATTACACACGATGACATTTATACTGATTGTAAAGTAACAAATATAATTACATATATTATATAAGTCCTGTTATTATATCTTAATATTACCTGCGCCAGCTAATTCTAAAAGCCGCTGCGAGTTCCTCTCAAGTTCAGCGATCGCTGCGAGCCTTGCTGTCCGTTCAGCGGCTAACTGAGTTTCAGCGTGCAGCCTCCTCTCGCGTTCCTCCGCAGCGGCCGCTTCTGCAGCAGCCTTTGCTGCTACCAGCCGTGTGGTCTCAGTGTCTCGGGCACTCGCTTGAACTCCGCGATGACACCGCGTAACTTCTGTTCTGTTGAGCCAGGAACCAAGATAAAAAAATAAATACTAGAATCATTACAACGCCACGAAAAAAGGGTTACTCTTTAATATATATATATTAAATAATAATAATTAAGATATCACCAAAAAAAAGTTTTCAGAGCAAAGGCTTTGTTTTACATTTTATGTAAGATTGGCTAACACTTTAATTAATTATATATTATATGTACATACTTAAAGTTGCATTATTTTAATTGATAATGAATTATTACAATTTATTTTACCTTTCAATATTGGGCACAATCCCCGCTAGAGCTGACTCGATGTCGGTACCAAGCAAAACCGTTTGAGAAGTCTTCTCGGCGTAGATTCGAACCCGGGTCTTTGTTGTGGACCTCGATGAAACCGAACGAGAAACAGTGGGTCGTCTTGACGATGGTGGGGTGATGTCATGTTTCGGCGAACCATCCTGATCCGCGTCTCTTCGCCTTCTTGGTAAAGTACCATATTTATCAGCCGCTATACGTGTCGCACCAACATCTGTCACCGTGGACAACCTTTGACCATTGGTTGGCCATTTCTTTTCCTCCGTTTGAGGAGAGTTTGGAGTTCGACATCTAGCTGCGGAAGTTTTAGTTGGTTTGGCACGTAACGCGGGACTCTCTCTGACGAGGTTCGGTAGGTCGCCGGTTGGTCTAATTTTTGGCTTAGGCGTCAGAGGGCGCGGTTTTTCTGGCGGTATAGGTTTTTCTCTGCTTCTAGCGCGTTCGCGGGTCGCCAGGTTCGGGCCTCTGGGCGCTGTTGTTGGTCGTGGGGTGGATGTTCCGATCGGTGAGCTCCTTTTGGGTTCAGTCACTGTGACATTGACACGTCGTCTAGGTCTTGGAGGGGCTCCGGCGATGGAGGAACTTTCTGAGCCACATCCCGACCCGCAGGACACGACGCTGGATGCACAGGATCGTGAACCGCCTCCGCTGCTTAGAGCTCGGCCGCAGCCCTCGACACCACTGTCACTACCGGCCGCACCCAACGCTAGCTCATCACCTGCCGGCAGACTGTCCAAATCACCCAAGGACCTCGCATCATCAGCGGCTTCGCAAATACCGTTTTCAATAAAAGAGTTCTCTTTGGAAACGGAATCCTTATCTTCGAACACTTCAATTACAACACCACTTTCGCTTTTAGTGTCTATTTTAGAAATGTTTTCATCTAATTGTTCATTTTCTACACTAGCACTTGTATCTTCTATCTTGACTTCCGGCGTAGTAGAAGTTTGCGCGTCCTGCGCGATAACTGTTCCTTCCTCCATTTTTGACTACTAAGTCATGATCTGAAACAATAAAGATATATCTATAGTTTACGTGACTGGATCAATAAGGCCCCAAAAGGATCGATGGGATAGAGAAGCAATAAACAGAGTGAAATGGAAGCAGTTTGAGAAGGGCTATGTCCCAAGACACACTGTAATGAGGAATAAATTACAAAAACAACATAACTATTGACACACAAATATTAAAAAAGTTAGGTAAGTGGTAGACATTGACTAAAACCCTTATAACATCTTGAACGGCTTTAAACAGATGTCAAACGGTAGAGTCGTTTTAACCTGTTTAAAACTATTATATTTACTAAATAGCATTTTTAAATAAATTGTTTAATTTTGTCTGTCTTGAACACGTTTCGCCCTCGTTACTTATTTTAATAATGGATATTTTATTTTCACTGAAGCGAAGTTTCTCTAACAATTAAAACAGCGTATAATAAAAATAGCCCTTAGGGGAAGGCTTACTGCTGCCACAGCCCACGATATGACCGTCTTTTGTCTGGCTTCTGTTGTGTCGTATCTAAACAAAAGCGTTCTTTTGTTATCAGGCATTTATAGGCTATAGTTATAACTTTAGGTAAACGTATAATACTTTATAATAGGTACCTAAACATTTTTAGTCGTTGTTAAGTTATTTAAGATTGTAACAAATGCAACACAAATTCCTCTTCCAAACGCTAATGAAATTCAAACTCTCCTAGATATCACTCGGGAGTACGCGGTTACGAGCAATTGGTCTAATTGAAAAGATTGCGTGCTTACTCAACTATTATTAAACAATTATCGTGCTCCTATAGATTTATGGACGTCCATTAATCTTGAACTCGGCCAATTAGAGGCAATTTGACGTCTGCGACGGTTAACAAGAGTATGGCAGCTGCATTGACATGCTGATAAGTTAAGTAGTGTTGTCTAAACATATTAACAGACGTACACAGATGGTAATTTAATCGCCCGATAAACATGTATTATAAAATTTATAATTGAGGGCAGATAAGCTTGGGTTTAACTCGACGAAAGTTGGAATATGCCGGCCTTATTTTGGTTTTGGTAGAAACGTCACAGAGTAATTATTTGTAGACAGTTTGTGGTAAGATTGGAAATTTGGTATTCCCACCAGCCAATCTATAATATACAGGTTCCCAAACGAAATCAACGGTGTTTTAGAAAAAATATAAATTGCTCAGAATCATGTCTGGATCCAGTGGGGGTTGAACTTTCGACCCGTCGATTATATAAGGCAGAAATAAATAACATAAAACCAACCTTGCTGTTAATTACATTATTTATCACCGCTCTATTTAACTATTTTTCTGTCCTAAAAAATACGATAGTCTTAGGTTCAAAACCCATTCTGTAAGATACGAAAATAAAATGTAGGAATTGTAATTTTAGAGTTCGACAGTATCGTTTAAAAGATACCACCTCAGTAACGAAGATAAAATTAAGAATTTTAATGCTGAGTTTTTTCCGCATGTAGTGTACATATTTTAAACTGTTAAATAAAATTAAAGTTACATAATTCATAAATAATATACGGTAATTCAAATATGAATAACCATATTTGAAAACTTTAATATTAGTCTTTTCACAATGCCCATGATGGCACTATATAAATTAAAAATCGATTATAAATTAAAAAAAGTTGCGCGATATATGCATCTATAGGTTGAAAAAAATCAACGATGACGTGTAGGACTCCTTAGCTCAATTCGTTAGAGCAAAAGCATGGAACGGTTCAAGTCCTCTCCGAGTCGCAATTTCTTTTTAATTTAGAATAAACTAGCTGAGCCAGCGACTTCGTTCGCGTAGAATAGTTATTTCATACTGTCTATAGTTTACGCGAGTAGTACACACTTTTACGCGAGTAAAACACTTTAACGGTTTTAAACGCGTTTTAAACCGTTAAAGTGTTTTATTTAAATAGTTATTTCAGGCATCCAAATTCGTTTTTACTCATGACGTCGGTCGCGTCCCTTACCGTCGTTCTTGTTCAAGTTAAGCTTAAAAGATAGACATATAGCGTATTTTTTTAGATCATTTAAAGAGGAATAATTCTTTCATACACATTTGTTAGTTATCTTGAACCGTTTTCGCAGCGTACGCTACTGACACCCACAGAGATGAAAAATTTCCCCGATTTGTTCACTTTACACGCTGTAACCTCGCTTCTATTAGTCACAGCGCGATTACTTATATTCTATAGCCTTCCTCGATAAATGTTCTAACCAACACAAAAATAAATTTTAATTCGAACCCTTAGTTATTGAGATTAGCGCGTTCGAAACAAACTCTTCAGCTTTATATATTGTTGTATCTATATTGTTTACATAAAACGTACTACCTATATGGATCAATTTCTAAGATTGATGTGAAACTATTATATTATGTATATTGGGCCAAAATACTTTTTTATGCCTAAAAACCAGTCCCTGGAATTAACATTACATTTAATGCGAGTGAGTTACAAAATTGTGACAATAGTATAATTATTTTAAAATTTAACATTATTATCTAATACAAAACACATGATTTGAACTGAAATAATTGTTATTAATTGAAAATTTACAGTAACAAAGTTGCCATTTTTAGTAACGCAGCCGTTTTTCATACTAAATATCTATGTCCCTGAGCATGTGTGCCAAACTATACGGAACAATTTCTCAAAATATTTCCTAGGTGGCGGTTAATTATAGATGGTATAATAAAAATGCAAGGTTTGGACGTTATTTGAATGGCATTAGAAACGTTTTAAATTGAAGATTTAGTAAAATAAAAAATTAATGTATCTGTGTCCCCAACGAGTAACAATATCGTAGCTACCTTGCGTTACTGTATGAAAAAAGACTTTAAAATGATTGGATTAAGGTTACTTGCACATTATTTGGTTCGATTTGTAGTAACTCGTTTAACAAACGACAGCAACAGCGCTTGGGCAGTACTCTCGCCGTGCTGGTCGCGTCCCGGTCCGTGAAGGAGGTGCGTGTATCTATTGTCTGTCTGCTGAGTTACCGCTGTTAATGTTACGTCCTGACGATATTTCACGTTGTTATTGTTTTATTACGCATTTAGGTATGTATTGCAACCGTGAGTGTAAAAATATCTGGATTTTATTATTTGATTTGGAAATTATTTACAATTTAGTCAAATATTTACAACTGCGTAACTGCTACACTGCGTTACAAAAAAAAGTAACGCAGTAGTTAGATAGATAACGTAGTTGTATTTTTGTTACTTATAAACAGTATACGTTATTAAATCCGATATAGCTATATGAAAATTGTATCTTTTTTTCTCAGAAAGAAGTTTCTGTCCTAAATGGCGCTGACAAACGCAGAAAAACAACGTCGCTATAGATAAAAATTGAAACAAGACCCGGTAAAAAATGCTGAGGCTGGATTATGAGAATTTCGTACCATATCTGCAAATAATTCTAATAATCCAGCCTCTATCTGGGCACACTTACATCCAATAATTAGTGACATACAACATAACAATCCTAACATAACTACAATTCATTTTTTCTCCGATGGACCAGCTACTCAGTATCGACAGAAGCAAAATTTTTATTTCATTAGTCACAGAATATTCACTGAGTAAAAGATCATACGCGTTACATGGAATTTCTTTGAAGCTGGGCATGGCAAAGGGGCTGCTGATGGTGTTGGCGGCTATCTCAAACGCATTGCAGATAAAAAAGTTGCTGTTAGTTCAAATATTTCTAATGCAGAAGATTTTTTTGACACCCTAAAAGACTTGAGCAAGGTCCGTTTTTACTTGGTGACACTGACTGACAGTGATATTCATAACGTTGAAAAAACACTACCTGAAAGTCTAGTGCCACTTCAGGGTACGATGCAATACATCAGGTTTTTACTCACACTTTGGGTGAACTTCGCTAAAGAGACCTTAGTTGTTTTTGCAAGAGGGGTTTTTGTTAGTGCATGAATCCAAAAACATATCAGCCTGCATACAAACATATCCCATCATTGACACACGTAAAGAAGACGTTCCATTTGATGAATCGGATAATGATATAGTCCTTGATGACATTACTAATATTGTTGCCGTACCTTTAAGGTACGTATTACAAGATTTATTAGAAGTTTATTATTCGTCTTCTAGCTCTGACGAGAAGCCCTTATCAAGCTTGTGCCAAGTGTCAACATCTAACGTACAGGGACACGCACGTGAAATACAGCAATTTCAAAAAAATGCAAAATGTTCATCCTACGAAGATATATGAAGGTGTCCATGTTTTAGTAAAAGTTACTTATGTTAAGGAAAAATAATATACTTTCCTTGGTGTTGTTAAAAGTAAAGTTGATGAAGAAGGGGACGTTAAAATTATGTTTTACAAGACAATTGACGACACTGGCAAAAGATTCAAAGCAGTAGATACCGATATATCTTACGAACCATACGAAAACATTGTAGAAATTGTCCCTAACCCCAAACTTGTCGTGAAAGGTAAAAGATTATACTTCAATTATGACAAGCCAAAAAATTTCTGAAGAGAGACTGAAGATATAGTGCCTCGTTAGTTTATACAGTTGATTTTCTCATCAAGGTATATTAATTCTTAACAAATATTGACGTAGGCAAACGTTTTATGTTACTTGAGGTACTTAATTTTATGTCGAGTCATGAACAGTTAAAATTGTTTTGTTATAAAGATCTCTATTAAAACTACAAAGTATAGTATATAAAAAATACTACTGTGTTACGAAGATTAATACTGCGTTACTTTTGTGTCCCTCTTGTTTTTATTGTATCTTTAATTATACAAAGGACTCTTATTGTCAAAAATGTCTTAAATTTATACGTACGTACTATTTATGACAAGAACAATACTATGTTGTCAATTGGAATTAATTTTAAGTTTATTTTTGTAATTTATGGAAAAGTTTAAGTTTTAATATTTAACATAGGTAACGCAGTGTATCTAATTAAACATGAATATTCGATGAAACTGATTATTTCTG